CAATGACTTTCAGCTAATAAAAAAAAAAAAAATCCTAGCTTCAACTTCTAGACTTCTGTATTTTAAAAAAGGTTATAAGCATCTGAATAATCTACCAATGCAGCTACATGACATGGATGCAAAGCATTTGGAAAATAAGACTCAAAATGTTCAACAATTAATATAATTAAAACAATGCATCACTACATATGTATGCATACATGGAAATCAGAACGTACTTGTGCAAAACCTTGTCTTCTAAAATGAGCTTTCTCTTTAAATTACTTCAGTAACAATAGTTAAGCTTCAGAAAATTCTAGAGTTGGTCTTTGAAAAAGCACTTACTACATAATTTTGCTCAAGCAATTACTTCAGAAGCAGTCCTTTCAAAAACTGAAGCCCTTGATTCCAATTACACTTGGATCTACGATTCCTCTGGCCTACAGTAGAGAAAGCAATGTCTGTGTCCTGAACATCAACTGGAGGAAGATTCAGATGTCTGGATCTAGATTAGGTTTTTTTTCCCAATTGCTACAAGGCTATACATGGAAGGGGGAAATACCTGTAAAACATCCTGCTTCAACTGTACACAAAATATAACACGAGAGAAATTCCAAACAGAAAAGCAGCTAAGTGCTCTACACTTACTTGACCTGCAGGGTGCATATTCAACAGATTTAGACCCAGCAAGCAGGTAACATGTTCCTACAGGCTCTCTCTCTTGTTTTGTTTCAGTCCTCCAGTGGTACAGTGGAGCACAGGCCTAAGAAAGAAAACACGGCAGTGAGAAAAACTCCTCTTCAAAATGCTGGAGGGTATAGAGTAATGCAATGGAATTCCAATTTTCTACAGATTAGTAACCAAAAAAAATTTTGGTGGATGTACCATGTGTTATTAGGGAAGTTATCGGCGCTGAAGCAGAAGTATCACCAGTTTGTATTTTCAGAAATAGCTACTTATTGCAAGAATTTTAGAAATAATAATTTCTTAAAGCAACAGTTGTAAAGAGTTCATCAAAAATGTATAGCACATTCTAACTTCAGGAAAACAAATTCTACTACTTTGCTCAAAACCAGACAAAAATGCTACAACCTTTGTTTATAGAGTTAAAAAAGGGTAGCCAATATATTCTGAAAAAGACAAGCCTTACTTATTAGCAGATTTTGTTTAAATTCTGAGTTATCCGGATCTTTTGACATTTTTTTCCACTACAGTATCCCAGTACGGAAGCATTGGAAGGGCATCAAAAACCTACCAGAATTTTATCATTTTTGGATCTCACAGAGGCTCCAAACCACTGATGAGACTTAAATTCCAGTGGATCATCAGGAGCAAAATCTCTGTTGCCTACAAACAAAATGAAAAAGAAGCATAATTTCACAGGAAAATGTACAGTAAGAATAAAAAAAAAAGCTAAGTCATTAATTTTGATGCATACAGAGAAAAGCAGAAAACAGTAACATTGAAGGATATCATGCTTTCACAGAAATAGGCTTTAAAAAGGATTTATTATTGTTATTCATTTTTACATTTAGGGCCAAATACAGCTATTTTTACATACAAAGCATTTGTCCAGTACTGATTTCTTGTAAGACCGCAAAGTTTATAGTCTTTGACAGCGACACAGTCATACTTGAGATATTTGACTTTCAAGTCAGACTACAGCACTGCTCAAGAATCAGTGCCAAAGCCAAGTTAGGACTAACGCTTCTGGAAGAAATATTGCCCTGATTAAATTGCATGAGTTTTGCCTTTGGCTAGAATCAGGACAGAAATTCTTCTCCTATTCCACCCAGTGTTAACATCTCTATTCTGAACGTCACTGCAGCATATAAAGCATGGCAACTAGCATGCTTACAAGCTATGAGCGAAGGGAAAGGGTATTCACTAACAAAAATGTTAAGAGAGTTTGCCATACAGAAGAGTAAGTTAAATAAGGGATAACTGGCACTGGTGTCTGGATGTTAACTGTTCAGTGATGAAGGTTGGTAGAAGAAACTTAATGAGCGGTATTTCTGCAAGTGTGAATGTTAGAAGTCTTTAAATAATATTTCTTACGTACCTTCATTGGAACAACAACAGAAACTTTGCCAGCCTAATGAGAAAATGGTTGTAACGCTCTGGAAAACACATCTTTTAAAAAAGTCACCTAAATCGCTTGTTCATAGTGCCTAAAGCTAAAGGAGTCAATGAGGTCAGCAGCCGTACATCTGCTCGGGGGAATCCCCAAACCCAACCCTGCTATGAATCAGAGACCTGTGGCCACTTGAATCAAAACCTCCTTGCTTGTCTTACACCTTGTAAAGAATGTTTTGTCTTGAGAGACTTCCATTAGGAAAATCCCATGAAAAGGACAACAGAAGTGATTCTAATCTGCAGTCAGCCAGAACAAGCAAATATCTGGACTGCTTTTGCTCTTAGATTAGAGCTAGGTAGAAATCAGTGCCAAGTGCATAGCATCACAGAGAACTACTGTGTTTTTTCTAATTTCATCAAAGGTAATTAAAAAAAAAGCCATTTCCTTCTGTCACCTCCTCCCTCCATCTTATTGAACAGGTGCTAGAGACATGAACGGCCTGATGATTAGTGTATCTGCACAGATTTATGTGCACATGAACATTTATACAGTCACCCTTGCAGAGACAGAAATGTAGTTTGGAGACCTGCAAGTCACTTCTTGTAGTACAGAAAAACAAAACTAGATCAGGACGTTTTCCAAATAGGGAATTGTCTTGGGTACACTTCTAAAATCCCTGGCTTATCAAGCTCTTTTCCCTTCCTTGACTTTTAATTCATGAAAATCCACCCAAGGACAGTTTTGCTCAAAGCATGCAGTTGCACAACTGGGTTAGTTTCAGATGAAGCTGCCACCAAAAGGGGTAGCAGTTCCATTCCTGGCCGTACGTTCCTGCTGCCAGCCTCTGTCTTGGCACTACATAGTCACAAACATGAACCTCCTAAGAATGAACCCTACTAAAAAAATATTCAACCGGATCATGGATCAGCCCAGCTGACTGCATGGGGAGGGAAGGAGTGCTAACCTGCTGGGGAAAAGACAGAAACATAGGGCTGGGAACTATATCCTTTTTGGCAGCATCAGAGACTTAAAATTGGTTTATTCTGCTTGTAACCACACCCAGGGTTACACAGCCTAGACACAGATTTGGCTTCTACCCTCTATTTGTCCAGCTACTTTTGAATATCAAGAAATATCTGAGCTTTACTTGCCAAACAAAGCTTTGAGCAATATCAAACTTACAGATAGTTACAGCATGGCATTTTACACCTTTCTCTACTGTTGGATACTTGCACAACGCTATGTATCTATGATTAAAATGAAAGGTAGTATAGCAGTTTTATAGTGTGAATCAGAATCCTATTGTGCTAGGTATTATCAAAATGTCTAGGATGTAAACTTCTCATTTAAGTTTAAAACAATAGGCAGCAAGCAGAAGGAATGGTCTTGTTGCAATAGCAGGTAAGCAGCCATTCAGCATTATCAGTAATCTGATTTTATCACAGACGTTAAGGAAATTAGTTCCTTCAAGTTTCAGCTGAATGCATCAGCTGAGACAGCATAAAGCAATAAAAAAATTTAAAATAAAAAAGATTACTGGTTACTGGTGCCATCTATCCATAGTCTATGTTGATTACACTAGAGAAGACAGGAACCAGTAGTTTAACCAGCACATGCTGCTAAAACAGCCCCTCTCTGCCTTCTCCCTGCGCATTCTTGAGCTGTAGGCGCTGCCCCACCCAAGAATCAATGTCCAGGATGGCAGCTACAAAAACTTGCCTCTCCCGAGGTTTTTAGAGGACAAAATGATTTTTTCTGCAGTACTGAAAAAGACCTGATTCAGCTCTAAATTGAGGATAATATTGGAAACATCTCTTCAATTTTATTTTAATAGGTAAACATCTAGGCTTTGAGATACAGTTGGAAGCTGGCATATAAAAAACTAAAATCTTCAAATCAGAAAGCAAAGGGACGTGACCCCATGTTTATTTTGTTCCAAATGTCATGGCTTCAGAAGCCAGCATCATAATTTCTGAAGGCCTAAATAACAAATTAAGAATGCTTATGCATTTAAAAAGCCCACCACATAGTAAAATGTGCTCCAATAAGCAATTTGGCTAAATAACTTCTATTTATTTATAATATGCTACTATTGCAAAATTAGCCAAATTGCCTCATGTCAGTGCAGATGCACACAACATAAAACAATACCTTCTACAAGGTTAAGATGCCTTACATTGAATTTATCCTATATTCGAAGCGTCATTAGGTTCTCTAAAACTAAGGCGGGGGTTGTCTTGGGGAGAAGGGGTTGCTGTTCAGTTTGAGACTGGCTGTAACACAGGAAAGTGTATTAAGACACAAAACCTAGATCAAGTAGAAAGTACGTACATTGGAAACATGTACTTTTCAAATTAAAAAATTGCAAACATTAAATACAGTTCAAATCTGATTTTAACTCTCTGTTAAAGAAGAAAAGTAACCTTTATTTACCCACCCCCATTCAAAATTCTCCCCAGGAAAACACTGTGTAAATAGCTTATGAGCCTTTCCCTCAGGTCCAGAAGAGAAACTAATCTTATGAGGAAATCTGGAAAACACCCTGTCATGAAAAATCCCCTTGCTTTAAATGAGAAACCGTTTGCATTTGTGTTCCTGACTCGGGAAAACAAACATAAAGAACACTTAAATGTGAGCCCTCACTGAAGCAAACCAGACTTAAATACGGTGCTTTAGCTATCAAGTAGATTTATCATGGGAAGATACAGGACTGACTTCAGCATTTCTGTGTTTTAGTATAAATAAAGACCCTGATTTTATTATTATTTTGTCATGGTATAACTTTTCAGTGGTAGTTATTAAAAAAACCCAAACCCCACAAAAAAAACTAAACAGAAAACCCCAAAAGCCTATACCCTTTAAAAACAGTACCTACATTAAGCAAAGCAAACTGTAACACAGTTTAAACATATTTGTTAACCAAATTTAAACATACAGGGATTTATAAATCCAGACCAGTGTTTTGATGTAATAGTCAGCCTTACTGGCTCTTATAGCCACTGCTGTTTTTCTTGTATTTCTAAATTATTTTCAATTTAGAGTATCTCAAGAATATGTTAGAAAAGTCTTTAAACCAATGATGTACCTTTTAAACCGGCATTCAAACAAATATATCTAAGCAATACAAACCACGTTCTGACTAGATTTATTCAAGAAAACGTTCAGAGTTTTTACACAATGCTGTTTGTTGGACTAAAATACAGCCACTACAAGGACTTCTACTTGATGGGTCAGTAATTCCAGGATTATCTCATTTGACCATAGGGTATTATTTTGTATCTGTAAAGACACCTTATGCCATGGTTTTTCCTCTGCTCCTTCTCATTGTAGTAGACATCACACAATGATTTTACGTAACTCTCTCATTAGGGAAAAAGGGCTGATGTGCCAAGTCAGTAGTGCTGTGTCTCACAACGTAGTTTCCAGGTGGCGTGATGGGGTTTTGAAGGCAGGAACAGAATTGCTTTAAAAAGCCATTATGCAGGCACGTTGTTGCTGCTGGACCAATGGAACAACGTCACTTTACGGCACTACATAGGATTTAAATTTATAAATGGAAACTAACGTGGAAGGATGCTGAGTGGAAATGGCAGAAAAAGGAAAAAAATAGTCTAAGCTATCTTCCAAATGATAATAAAAAGATCAAAAGTTCTTTCAGTGCTGAATTTCTTTTGGCTATCAGCTTTAGATAGCTGGCACCTTCTTTTTCCAATGTAAATGCTATCAGTTACAGAAACAATAGCATTACTATAAAATGACTGCAGTTGAGTAAGTGGATCAAGTTGTAACTTGTAGCCCACCTGCTCTCTGGTAACGAGAAACTGAACTAAAACATTTGCCCCTGACCTTGAGAGCCAGACTTAACTGCAAAAATCGTGAGTCAAGAGGCAGTGAACTGATGAAGCCTGGTTCAGTGTCATCATACTATGAAAGTGTAAGAAGCTGTAAAATTCAAATAGTCACCCAAGTCACAGGATTTCCATGAAAATAAACCTATCTGTAACTATGCCAATTAAAACTAAATTATGTTGCCCCTTCTAGGTAAAGGGAAACTATGCAGCTAGCCAAAAGAAAGACAAACTGAAAAAATACACAAGCACTGTTTTCATAGTATGAGAACTTTACATGGTATAAAGCTAGCTACCTTCCATCCAAAATCTCAGTGATTTCAGCCGTAATGAGGCAAGAGCGAGTGAATACAAGCTTATCTTTACTTGAAACTCCTCACTCATGCTGTGAGGCAGCTGATGGTTTAGCAACCTTGGTTTAG